TGGCATCAGTTTTTTTGTCTGTAAAAAGGAAGTTTATAATTTCATAAAGTTTACATGAAACTCTTAATGCCTGATACATGCCATTTAGGACTAGCCATTGTCTGTTAATAACTAAGTGAACAAGGTAGAATCTGAAGTGAAGATAATACCCTTTGTTCCACCAAACCACTCTTCATTAGGATCATGTGTGTGGTGGATCAACCTCTAAAAAACCTTTAACAAAAGGATATTGTTAAGGGTCTGGGGATTTAGCTCAGCGGCATAAGCACCTGCCTTGCAAGCAGGTGGTCGTGAGTTTGGTCCCCAGTACCGATAAAAAAAAAAAAAATTGTTAGTCTGAATAAATTAGACACAATATACAGTTATGTCCAGTGACAAAAAAAAATTTGTCCTGTATAAACTCCCACCACAGAAGTGATGTAATCTTTTGTTGTTTTTTGTAAGGTTTTAAAAATATAGGTACCCTACAGAATTGTTTTATTCTTAGTAAGTTATAATGGGTATTTCTACAAGCAAAAAAAACCTCCATAAGCAATAAAAATTCTTTTTATTAGTAATAACTAAGAAGGAAGAATTATTGTTTTTTTTCCCTAAAAAGGAAAAAGAATTTAGAGTAGTACTTAAAATAAGGCCATACATATGGTAGACGTTCAATAAATATTGAATGATTTACTTGTCAAGATCAAACAACTAGACCTAGTAGATTCGGGACTCAGGTCTGATTCTTGTGTCCTGTGCATTTTAAGCCTCCTTGCCTCATTCTTCTCAGCTTTTTAACATGTATTTCCAATATATCACTCGCATAGCTATACAGGAATTAGAGAATTAAAGTTTTGTTCTTCTAATATAGTCTGGCAGTTGATGATTATCTTAGCAAACCAGTGTACAAAATTATAGCACAGGTCTGCCAGCCAAGAGCAAGAAATCTCTCTAAGGAACTGCATGAGAGCAAGCACTAAAAATATTAGACATATGCATGGATGCATATGTAAAGATAAAGGTGGACCTATATAATTATCAAGTGTTCTGGAACGGAGGTCCTTAGTCTGCCATTTGAAGCTTTTAATAATTTGTAGGTTCTTTGTATTTTCAGCTTTTTCAAATTTTTCTCTACTACCAACATTTTAAAAGGTTATTACATTTCTTTGCCACTTTGTATATCTTTATTTATATTCTCCAGTCTCCATTTCTCTTCAAGCCATCTGTCTGAGATCATCTTGTATCTCTCTGATACCAAACTACTATCCATTCTTTGTAGTATTTCACAGCACTCTCTCTTTTCTGCATCCTTATTATTTGAACTATCCTATTTGAACCTCTTAATAGTTTATCTTGAGGTCAGTGATTATGTCTTTTGTTCTTGTATTATTCTAAATAATGAGCCAGATAATTAGAGAATGTACAAATTTATTATGAACTTTTTTTTTTTTTTTTTTTTTTTTGTCTTTTTCCTTTTTATCGGTACCGGGGACCGAACTCACGACTGCCTGCTTGCAAGTCAGGCACTTATGCCGCTGAGCTAAACCTCCAGCCCCTTAATTATGAACTTTTAGCAGGCAAATAATCTTGTTCGTCTTTGTATTCCCCACACAGCCCAGCTTTGTGGAAAATAGGAAGCTTAGGTTTAAACGGCATATAATTAAATATAAGTTACAAACTATGTTCTGTTCTCTTTATAGTTTCATGAGCTTGGGCAGTTACTTAACCTTTCTGAACCACAGTTCTATGAGTAATACATTTTCAGCAGACTAAGAAAAAGAGAATCACTTGTTATCTGCACTTCATAATATGCAACACTATTCCTTAAATCTTTAAAGGATTAAATTGAATCACATTCTAGTGTGCTAGTTGACAGTAGGTACACTAATGAACAATAACAGAGTTACTCTCAAAAATGTCTTGGACTTAGGACTTCCACACTTGAAACAAAGAAAATCATATAAGAAATGCTTTAATGAAGTGATAAATAAAAGCTGTAGTATAGAAATGCAGAGGAAAAAAGTGTAAATAGTGAATACGAGGGTTTGGTCTAAATGATGATCTGAAAGCCATGTGATACATGGAGCGCGTAAAGGAAAGGAGGATGAGAACAAATTGAAGTATCATGTAATTTAAAAAATTTTTTTTTTTTTTACATTTGAGGAAGTCCACCTAGTTGTAGAACAAATACCTGATTTGGAGAATAGTTGGGGGATGTCTGTGAAGGACCATCACAGTTTGAGTAGGCTTTCTGTTATGCATCACTTCAACCACACATTATTTGACTTAGGCATTTTGAACGCTGACTGGGCCTGTTATTTGAACTTTCTTTACCACTAACCTTCCCTCCTACACCCTTTATTATAGTTACATTGAAATTTTTCCTGTTACCTGAACATGGTCACTTTTCCCCCCTACATGAAAAATCGAACTCTCAGGGTCTCGCGCATGCCAACAAACACTTAGTCACTGAAGCCTCATAGCACTTAAGATCTCAGTAGCTTTTGGTGTACTTGCTCCAGCCCTCATTATCAAAACAGTTATTTCTTCTGGTTCTTACACTAGACTTCAAATTTTCCTTTCTCTCATCTGCTTGACTGTCAGTCTCCCTTACACTGACTCCTTTCTTTTTACTTCTTTCCCATGCTTCCTAGCTTCCATCTTGGCCTCTGCTTTTCTCTAGGTAAGGAATTTCTCTCAGTGATTTGTTTTGGTCCACAAGTCTTAGATACTGCCTGCTACTGACTCTCCTACTCTAAGCTTTCTTACTTATCCTTTGACTCTGATATTCAACTGTATATGACATTTCTTTTTAGATATCTAATAAGCATTTCAATTTAATATATCTAAGACTTTACTTTCAATTTCCCCACTGAGGTTTCTTTATAAAATTAAATTCTGTTCTCTTATTTTCTCAGGCCAGAAACCTTGGGGTTATATTTTTCTCTCAGGTTCCAGCAGTAAACTCTCCAGCTTCCATCTCTCAAATGAATTCTGAAGTCTACAACTCCTAACCATTTGTACCTCTAACATCCTAGTCTAAGTTGCCGCCATCTCTTTCAAATTTGTCTCCGAGCACGTCTCCTGTCTCCATTTTCCAGGGTGACCAGAGCAGCCGGAGTAACCTTGTATAAATGTGAATCTGTCAACCCTTACCATTTTCCTTTGTAAAATCCTCCAGGTTTTTCCTTCATGGTTACTACAAGGACCTGTATGATTGAATCTGTGATCTCTTTATTGCCACATCACCTTCAATTTTTATGTCACTTCCTGTGAGATGTCATCTTTTATTCTGTTGAAAGAAATTCCATTGATCCTCTGTTATTTTGTGTTTTATTTTCCCTCATAATTATTAAATCATCTTTAAGAGTTTTTATTCACTTACTTGATCTTTGTGTCCTTTGTTAGAATATAAGTTTCATGAAGGAGGGGCTGTGTTTTTCTTATTTATTGCTGTTTGTCTAGCAACTGGAACAGTGTCATGAATATAGTTACCCAGTAAATGAACGAACATGTCCTTTCTCTTATTTTCATGTGTAAAAAGTTCTACCCTTCTCCATTCCCCAAACAAAATTAAAAACTCCTATTTTTCTTTTAAGTGATAAACTCAAGGTTGTCCTCCTTCTTCATATTTTAATTTCATTGAAGCTTTCCCTTGATTTTGTTTCTGTTAAACTTTTCTTTCATTTTCTCAGTACCTATTATACTGTAATCATTTATGTATTTGTCTATTAGACTGTGAGTGTTTCTTGAAGAAAAACCAAGCATTTTTATTTGAGTTGGTTTCCTTAGCATCTAAAATAATGTAAGGCATTGAGTTAATGTTATAAATAAATAAATGAATGGAGGTTTTAACTCCAGGAGTTGTTTTTCAGAAGGCAACATCGCTGTTGCTGTGTGAAATACAAAGATAAAAAAGATTCTCACTTCTGGCAATTCACAGTTTTTCCTTATCCAGTAAATAGTGTACCTAATCGTATACCTAAAGCCTAAAGATGCCAAAACAAAGTTCCTGATCTCAGAAGAGTATTTTAATTAATTATGATTTGCTTTGATTTTGATCAATAATAGCTCATGATACATATGTATTTTTAGTCTGTAATTAACCAGGGAACTCAATGAAGCTAACAGGACAGGTTTGCTATCTAATTTTAATATTTGTGTTATATGTTTATCACATAGCTATAGATTGGCAAAGGTTGATTGATTTAGTACAGCCCAAGTATTTTCCTGATGCTATAGACATGTCTAAATTATACTTTGAGGCAGGAATATGGGTTATTCAGACCTATTAGTAATAGAATTTTATTTTTATTATTTCTAAAATAGTGTTTCTTAATATTGACTCAAAAATAGAATCATGATGTGTTTCTTACTTTATGTAACTTCATATATTCTTTGTGATTCTGATGTATTTCTAACGTTTTGAAGTTTTGGCATAGAGTTGAAAAAATCTTGGTTTGAATTCTTCAACTTCTGAATTATATATATTTCTGAGTCCTAAGTGAAAGCACAATTATTTTGAAGGAACTTTGGCTTAGCAATCAAGTTCTATAGATTTCCATTGTCTCCTGAATTTTGGCTAAATTGTATTTCTGTTCTTTTACACTATTCACAGAGTGTAAACAATAGCTTCGAACTTCTTGTAGAACAGCTACTTCATTTATAATCCAGTCAAGAGTATACATTTTAGTAGCATATTTGGCATTGATAAAATTGACATTTCTTTTGGAGGAAATAATGTATCTACTGTAGGTAATATATAACTTGTGGAAACATATATATGCAGAGTGTTTAGGGTTGAAGTTGAAAACAGCATGGTTGAGAAGGAGTTAACAGGTTAGCTCCCCTTGGTTGTTCTCAGCATGCTCTCTTGCCTTTAGGAACTGCAAAGATGATAACATTGGGCCTGGACATGCCTGTGTGGAGGTTAAGGTACTCCTGGGGTTTTTGCAGATAGCTGTAAAGCAAGCTAGAACTTGTTCACTCTGAGTTTCTTGTTTTTCTTTGAACCTTTTCAGTGCCCTGCAGGAGTCATTAAATCGAAACTTCATGCTGATCATCACCCACCGAGAAGTCCAGCGGGAGTACCACCTGAACTTCTCAGGAAGCAGTACCATTCAAGAGGTGAGTTATGTCTCACAGCTAAGGAATAAAGGTAGCTCATTATAGCTAATGTTGACCCTGTTAAAGAGGGCTTATCTGTTCTGGTTGGAAACTCTCTTTATGTTTCATTATTGAGTTCTTAATTTTAATTAACTGGAGCATCAGTGATTACTGTAGACACACTAAATGACTTGACCTGAAAGATAGATGTTGTAAATGGGACCTCTTGATAATTCTTAAACTAATGTACTAAAACCAGGTTTAAGTATAGCTCATTATTATATATTTCATAGTTTTGGAGTAATTGTCCAAAATAATAATTTAGAAAATTTTGGTAACATTAATTCTGAAAGATCTTTTTATATCTTATTTTAAAAGTCACTATAGTCACTTATTTTAAAAGTCCGATATATTTTTTGAGTTGTGCATTCTTCTGTTGCGGAAAGGAATTTGAGGCGGCTTTGTTTAAGCAGCTAAATCTTAGCTTTGGACAATACTTATATCATGGTGTTGGAGACTCCCCTTCAGTCCTGAATAACTGAGAAAAAAATTCGTTTATCAATATTGTCTTCAGATTGTCCAAAAAAGGCCACTGTTTCAAAATAGAACCTCTCCCAAGAGAAGAGAGGTACCTTCTAAGTATGCGTTTGGCCCGACCCATCTAAGAGTCAATAATTTATCTTCACAGAGGGAAAACAAGGCTATGACAGGACTTGTGTATTTAGAAACACTGATATAGTTACCGTGTTATATTACTCCACATAAGAGGCAACAATCATTTTTTTATCTGCTGCTTTTCAAAGAGAATTAATCATGCTTAATCTTGGATTCATAATTTTCTTTTAGGTTGCATTGCTTAAAATAATTACTAATGTCATCTTGAAAGAATAAGTTATTCTCACCCTAGTGATTTTTTTTCAGAAGTATATGGATTGTTTAAGTAATGGCTCAATTATTAATGGTTCCTGTATCATATGTTTTATCAATAAATTTCATCTATTGAGTTTGGCATAAATAATTCACTGCTTTATTTTCTATATTGATCACTTGGCTAGTATATTGACTGGTAACTAAAGTCTTTAACATTTTTCTTAACTCCTAAATTTAATCATAGTTTTATTTGATTTTTTTCAGGATTCTAGTACACATGATTTGCTCTTTTCTTTTTAATCTTTATAATTTGTATTTTGTGCTTTAAGTTTAAAATTTTACTTTCTGAAAAAAAGTCTTTTTTTTTTTTTCTTTTTTTTTTTTTTTTTTTTTTTTGCATTACAAAATTTTACTGGCCAGGGATTTAGCTCAGTGACATAAGCACCTGCCTTGTAAGTGCATGGTCATGAGTTCGATCCTCGGTATCAAATAAAAGTTTTATTATGGCTGAGAATTATTACAGGGTAAATATAATATCAATACCCAAATTACATGTGTAGTTTAATTTGGCAGAGAAATTAGGGTCCAGAATAACTCCAGTTAAATCAGTAATACAAGGTAAGAGGTAAATTTCATTCCTTCATTGATTTACTTTTTTGAACAGAATAGTATAATGCCTGAAGAAAAAAAGGCTTCTTTTTCTTTCTCTTTGAGATTTTATAGCTAAATTTTTCCTTTTTAAAAAAATCTTGGCTTCAGTATCTCAGGTATGTTTCAATGTTCTCCCACAAGAGGGCAGAAAGGACTATTAAGCTGAGAGCCTAAAAATATCATTCAGTATTTTCAAATAGCTTCTCTTATATTAACAAAAAGGAGCATAATGGCCAAGTTATTGTTTGATTTACAGATAATTGGCATATTGCAGGGAGGAGACTTAATTTCACCCTTTTAAATTAAACAGGGAGATTTAAAAAGACATAAAATATTCATTAATGTTCGGTGATTATAAAGTAGTGGCATATATTTATTTTGCCTTTATTACTGTTTCGATGGGAAAATACTGCAAATATTTCCGAAATCGAGTTGGCCATACTGACAAGTTGAAATGTTTAAGCAGCGTTAATGCAATCTGCTCACACCTGATATCCTATGCAGAATGATTCAAAATGACTACATCAATTATTCAAAGAAATATTTAAAATTCTGTAAATGTGCCATAGTGTGCCACAGTTGGCTGAAACTGTTCTCTGTGGCATAGTATTTAGGTTATCAAATAAATTTTAAGCTTCAAGGACATGAACACAGTAAATCTTTTTCCTACCATTTTCTGACATTTGAAAAATATTCCAGAAATATTTTTCCAGAAACAGATATTTTTAATATTTCTTACCAAGAGTTTGGTTTCTTCTTTTTAAAAAGTTATTTTAAAGTAATATTTTAAAATACTAGTTGCAAAGAAAAAACAAAAGCAGTAGTTTCTAACAGTTTTCTGTTAGTAGTCTGGTCCACATGCACTATTTTATTTTATACAACTTAGAAAAAGAATATTGAGAAAAAAAGTGAGGATGTCTCTGTAGGCCTAGTGCTGACTTTTCTCCTGTTTGTGGGTCACTCTGGGGCAGGCTAGTTTCAAGATAAGAAAAAGATGTACTTGTTTACAGCCTTGCAATGCACGATGACACCTGAGTACATCTTAGTATTTCTTATTGTATGACTAGATGTCAGTTTGATTGCACCAAGATAAAAACACAATCTTGAAACAATTTTGCAACTATAAAATAGTACTATTTTGTTGTTACTGTGGAAACATAATGATGATATGTATCTTAAATTGCAGGTTAATTTTTGTTCTCAATTTTGGCAATCTCTTTTTAGTATTAAGTCCATGAATAAATTTTGACCAGTATAATACACTGAGAAAATGGAAGAAATTTTAAAGAAACAAAATAAAAATCTTTATTCATTTTCTTGCTCTTTTTCTTTCTTTTTATCATTTTCTTTAGTATATTTTATGTTTAGGTGAAAGAAGTTTTTAATTTTTGAAAACCTTGAATTTAAAAATGAAGCTTTTATAATATTTTTCACCTAGAAGGCAGTTTTTATTAAAATAAGATTGAAAGAGATACTGATTTCAACTGCTTGGACAAAATACATTTTAAAAAATGCCAGATTAGAAAATAGAACCAACACATAGTCTGTGTTTTAAATAAATTCTTCAGTGACCATATGTGTATTCAAGTTAGTGGTGATAAACCCATGATTGTACAAGTGTTTGTTCATTCTGACTGTGCCGACTCTTTGGTCTGCTGCCTCACAATGCATGACTTTTGTCCTTTGGGTCTCCAGATTTTAAATTAAACTAGTTACCGGAGGTTTTTGGTTTTGATTTTTGTTTCTGTTTTAAGGTTTTAACAAATTCTTCTACTTACATTATCCTTCTACTTGAGAAGGCAATAGTGGAATAAAAACAGTCAGAATAAACAATTATATATAGCCATAAGAAGAAAAATCCTTTGTCTTTTCCATTATGATAAACAGCTTGTAAAAAATATCAAATAATGTGACAGTTACTTAACAGTTTAAACATGACAGCCCATCTTTTGGGCTTCTAAATTAGCTACTTGTCATACTTTACTGAATTTCTACAAAAATTTAAGCATACTTACCTTACTTTAATCATTTTTCTTCACTGATAATTCACATTTTTAACAGTTAATCGTACATATTCAAGTAATTCTAATGCTATTAAAGATCTGTAGTTTCAAATGTACTTGGAATGAACTTAAAATAGAAAAGGAAAACGATTGGTTTGCTTTTTGCAAATCCTAAACCCAGGTGTGGAGAAGGATATAAAGTCCCTGAAATCAAGCCAACTTTTCTTGGAAACTAATTCTTTGTTGTCTATTATTGCAAAAGCTTCTGTTAGGCAAAATATCTACTTTTCTTTGTAGATGTCATACAAATTTAAGGAATATGCCTCTGACCCAGAAAAAAAGATAAGAAACCTAAGTATTTTTAATGTTTAATCATGTAGTACTACTTCTCTATTACAGTAAGAAACAGGTAAATAGCTACTGGAATTATTTAAATCCTCTCCTAAGTTTCACTTTACTGCAGAATTCTCACTGTTCTTATTAATGTTGATTTAGTTCTCAATGGAAATGAAAGGAGAAAATTGACCACCTATAAGGCTCTGTCTATCTTGCAGGAAGTAGTAGCACATTTCAGCTACTAGGACTGTGTGATACAATCTAGTGATTAAGTGAGAAGCCAATAGAGTTTATTTAGCATGAATGGGTGAACTAAATACCTAAGTCATACCAGTTCTTTAAAATAATTGTGAAATCATGAGGCTAATTCGTAATTCTGAAAATGTGAGCCTTATGTCAGCTTTTGTGTGTTATGTTTAGTTTTCTGCATGCTACTCTCTTAACTTGCTTGGCTAATGTATATTTTGGAGTATTTTTTTAATGGTAGTGGCCAGTAACAGTTATGAAATATATAATGGTCTTTTACAGGTCATATAATGAGCAGTTTTCTAGTAGTAAATTGCATATAATTTCTTAGTTAACATGCAGTTTTTCTAAGTGTTTTAAATTTTGGGTAGGTTTTTGTTTTGTTTTGTGGGGTTTTTTTTGGGGGGTGGGGTTGTTTTCCAGGTGGGGGACTTGCTGGCAAGAACTGAAGAATGGGATAGCTGAGAATGTGAGAGAGTAAATTAAGTTGTGAGCTTTTTTAATTAAAAGTTTAAGTGTTTTGTTTTTACTGCAAGGTAAATGGCATTTATTGGATCAAGTAGAATGAATAATTTTTATTAGTATGTATCATAGTTGATTTTTTAAAGTTTAAAATCACAAGTGACATCTTGGCAAGAAAAGAGATAATTTCTTAAGTAACTGAGTGATGAATTCAGACTTAGTGTACAGAAGAGCAGATTGTGATTTTTTCTTAAATATTATTGATTATTGATTTCAAGTTGTATTTTAAAGTTGAGACCTTTTGAATAATACCACTTAAATGTACAAATCTTTAGGAAATAAATTTTATAAATATTGACATTTTCTGTGATTCTTATTACACTATTTCTTTAGGAATAAATTGAATATTTACAATGTATCTGTTTGGAAATGACAAGTATCCCCCCACCCCTG